AGTCCTAAAACCCTGAAGCCCTGAAACCCTGAAACCCTAAGACCCTGAAGTCCTGAAACCCTAAAGCCCTGAAACCCTGAGACCCTGAAGTCCTGAAACCCTAAAGCCCTGAAACCCTGAAGTCCCTAAAACCCTGAAGTCCCTAAAACCCTGAAGTCCTAAAGCCCTGAAGTCCCTTTTAAAGAAAGACCCTGTGGAGCGGCCCTGAGAAGTGCAGAGGCTACTTGCACCGCTACGCAAGCTGGTCCAGGGCCTCAGATCTGACCAGTCAGTCCTAGGGTTTAGGGTTTGGGGTTTAGGGTTTAGGGTTTAGGGTTTGGGGTTTAGGGTTTAGGTTTAGGGAAAAGGGCTCCTCATGGTAGTCCCCCCCTCCCCCTTTTCTTGGTGCGAGGGGTGTGGAGGCGGGTAGGAGTTTGGGGCTCAGGGTTTAAGCACTAGGTGTTGAGGGTTAAGGGCTTAGGAGCAGTCTAGTCGTTCAGCCCCTCTGCCTGCGTAGAGAAAGTATCTGCATCGACCTTCCTAACGTCAGGGAGAGGCGGGGTTGAGGGCCAAGGGATGAAGGATCCTTGGGGACCAAATGAGCCCTAAAATTGGGGTCCTATACCCTATACTACTATAATTCCTATTAAGGTATATGAACCATAAACCCTTTTAGGGTTCATTTCGTCCCCAAATAATTACAGGGAGCCGTTGAGGGTTGTTGGGCTTCGGGTTTGCTGCCGCATGGCCTTGTGAAACCATTATGGGGAAGTAGGTTGCGGATTCAGGGTTGCTGCTGAGGGTGTGGGTTTTTTTAGGGGTTTAGGCTTTAGGCTTTAGGGTTTAGGGTTCAGTTCGGAGGGTGGGGGTTGGGCTACGGCTCCTCGGCAAGGTGAGTTCCCCCGGCAGTTGCACACAAGGGTGCTTGGACTAAGCGCGTGCAGCGATGCAAGCACGAAAAGCATACCTAAAGGCTTCTACGCACTTCCTTTCACTATTTCGTGTAGTTTCTTGTCACGCATTGTCGCTCACCTAAACAACTACATTGGAGCCTGGGCTTTTCCAGCAAGTACCTAAACCCTAAACCCTAAACCCCAAAGAAGGGATTGAGTCTCGGGCTGGGGCTTGGAATTTCGTCTTGAGTGCTGTGATCAAAAGAGCTACTGCCTTGGAGAATTCATTGGGACCCTTGAAACCTTCAACCCCAGCAGCTTGCCCGACCTCTTCCCTGTGGCAGTGCCACCAGTCGACTTCATGCCCTCCCCCCAATGCTACTACATGTTTCGTATTTGCAGTCTTCTTACCATTATGAGTAGCACCATACTTGAGGCGTAGCATGCTTAGTGCATTGGCAGGGTTTGGGGGTTTAGGTGGATGGCTTAAGGGGATAGACTCGAAACCCCTGAAACGGCAATGGCCAGTATGTGAGGTGGTCTGATGAGTCCTACTACCGACCCTTGAAGAACTACTGCCGCTTCTGAGGCGAGGAAGGTCAAGTTTTAGTCCCACACTTTACGTGAATTCACCCTAAACCCTAAAGCCTAAATCCTGCAAACCCTAAACCCTAAACCCTAAACCCTAAACCCTAAACCCTAAACCCTAAACCCTAAACCCTAAACTTTAAACCTAAACCCACCCTAGGCCCAAAACCCGAAAGCCGGCCATGAGGCAGTTCCAGAGGCTTTGGATTGAGGTTCTTGAGCTTAGGACTTAGGGTTTAGGGCTTAGGGTTTAGGGTTTAGGGTTTAGGGTTTAGGGCTAAGGGCTACGGGCTAAGGGCTTAGGGCTTAGGGCTTAGGGCTTAGGGCTTAGGGCTTAGGGCTTAGGGAACCATGCAGCTGTCTGGTTCTCTACCCGAACCCTGCCGCAGAAACCCGGCTACAGGTTTCCATGTAGTACCGTCTTCGTGGTACACTTTCTTTCGCTGTTGCTAGCCCAACAAGGAACCACACGCATTCAACCGAGGTTTTCTAGACCATTTTGTGATGCCTTCCTCCCCTGGACCCTAAATCCTGCTTGGTCTCCTTGCGCGGGGGGGGGGGGGGGCGCCTGGGAGTTGAGGGATTTCAGTGATTGGGTGTAGGGAGCCTAGATAGTGTATTGGCCTTGGAAACGCGTTTTGAATGAATGAAGGACTGAATGAATGTATGTATGTATGTAGGGTCCTGCCTTCCAACTAACCCGAGTTGAGGCGGATTCAGGGTTTCGGGCTTTGGGTCTACTCGCCCTAAGCCCTAATCCCTAAACCCCTAAACCCTAATCTCTATATGCCCTAAACCCTTGCAACGCAGGCTACGAAACCTGCACCACCCAGTGACAGGCATGGCTGGCGAGAAGCTCTGAGGCTTCGATTCGGGCCTTTAGGGTGTTCGGCCTCTTTTCACTCAAGTGCTAGATGCTAAACCCTAAACCCTAAACCCTAAACCCTAAACCCTAAACCTTAAACCCTAAACCCTAAACCCTAAACCCTAAACCCTAAACCCTAAACCCTAAACCCTAAACCTAAACCCTAAACCCTAAACCCTAAAGCCTAGTCCCTGAATGTGGGCAGGCAATGGGGGACAGGTAAGACATGTTCCCGTCGAACCCCCAGTGCGTCTTTAAGAAGGGCTTGTTTCAGTAGATGCTGGGAGTAGGGCTGTACCCTTTCCAGGGTGGTTAGGCTGGTCTTCAGCTTCTTGGCTTTAGGGTCGAGCTCGCCTGCAAGACATTCCATGCGGCTGCTGAGACGCGCGAGAAAAGGGCAGTGGCTCAGGGCGTGGGGTTTATGTAGGGTGTAGGTTTTAGGGTTTAGCATAAGGACTTAGGGCGTCAGAGATCACAGCGGTCATACGTATGACAAAGGTTATTCTGATCTTCGATCGAACCGTTCAGGCGCGGCTCTGAGTCTCTTCATCAGAATATTTATGTGGGATGGGTGTAGGTTCGGGGATACGTGGTTTCGGGAGCCGCGTCTCGAGCTCTGTCTGCTTTTTTATAGACCTTGAACCTATGGTTCTGCCAACGTAAGCTCGGGCATTCCCGCAGCCACTGCTGTTTCACCCGCAACTCAGGTCAGGACCAAGTCAATGGAACTCAGGTATTCAGGCAACAGCCAGGTTCATGAAAGGCCTTCTTGCAGCCCTGACTCTCACTAAGCTGCACACTAGCAGTAGCAACATGTTTTTAACGTAGAAGCTAGTACAGAGACGGTGCCCAGAGACGCCACCGCCCGACATGCTCGTGCCACAGAGCTCCTGTCTGCAGGAAGTCAAACCCTAAACCCCAAGCGATAAGCAGCTTCACGTAATGGTTCCTCGGACACTCCCAAATGGGCTGGGGCCCGACACTTCACGAAGAACTTGAAACCCCGTTAGGGTTGCTGGGTTTTTCGTAGGGAATGAGAGAATGTGGTACCCTATATCTTGTGTGAACATGATTCTTTAAGGGGCTGTGTAGTTCCCTCATTCCCTACTAAGAGCCAGTCGGTAGGGTTGAGGTTGAGGTTCCCTACTTGCCGGCATGCTCCTAAACCCGGCATCGCTAAAGCCGAGGACCTAAAGGCATAAACCCTCACCCTCCCCCCCCCCCCCCAAAAAAAAAAAAAACAACTAAACCCTTAACCCTAAACACTACAAACCCCAAAAGCCCTGCACACCTTGGTCGCTGACAGAAGACGTCCCGACGTAGCCGAGGAAGCCGGCGGAACCTCGGCAGTATCCTCAAGCTCCCCGGAGGCCTCTTTTTTTCTTGAGGGGTGGGGGGGGGGGGGGGGAAAAGGGGGGGGGGGGGGGAATAGAGGGGGGGGTGAGGGTTTGGGGTTTGTTTAGGGTTTGGGGTTTAGGGCTTTTCGCGTCGCAGATCTGTAACATCATCATCATCATCATCACCACCACCACCATCATCCCCTTTGCCGGGCAGATAGTTCCCTTATAGTATGTTGAAAGCCATCGAATCCATGTTCGGTACCCCACCCCCCCACCTCCCCCCCACCTCCCCCCCACCTCAAACTATTTTACTTCGAACTCCAGGGTTGGGCACTCTGCGCACTCCAGAGAAGGCTCTGGGGTTGGGTACTGCAGGGAGACTCTGGGGCTGGGCACTCCGGGGACACTCCCCCAGGAAAAGTCTAGGGTTGGGACACTCCAGAGTTGGGCACTCCAGGGACACTTTGGGGTTGGGCACTCCAGGGATGAGCGAGGAGACCGGGCGAGGAGGGGAGTTGAGTTTAAAATCCAACAACCCCACACCGAGGGTGGGGAAAAATGTTCCAGTTGGAGGTTGCCTTCCAAGGGCACGTTGGGTAATAGGCACGTTGGGTAATAGAGGGGTCTGAATAGTTACTATTAGTATTCTCTTATGGGCTCTTGCTTTAAGGGTACTATACTAACCCCTCTTGACATGAACCCCATTGAAAACAATGAAGGCTCCCATATTGTGTCCACTTGGGTCAGGTTCGTCACATTGGAGCAGCTGAAGAAGTTCAGAGCAGGCAGGGGTTTTAGGGTTTAGGGTTTAGGGTTTAGTGTAGGGTTTAGGGTTTAGGCTTTCTGGACCTGACACACGAACCTTTCTGACAATTCAGCAAAAGATCACTGCGGTTGGCCAAAGCAGTCACCGAAGAAAGAAAGGGCAGAATTCTTCAGGGGCCAAAGAATTCTTGCTTGACTGCTGTCAAAGTGTAGAAGACAGAGAGTTTGTGGGTCAAGGTTATGTCACATCGTCTGCCCACTTAGGGGCTTAGGAGCTTTTTTGGGTTTGGTTCTTCACATTGCTGTTGTTTTGCTAGGAGACCCCTCCCCCGCCGAACTACAATTCAGGGTCTTGCCTCCCATTCATTGCAGTCGTCGTGAGTACCGTGCTTGGTCGCTAGACGCTAGACTGCAGAGCCCAGCAAGAAACTTATGAAGCCCCGCAGAAAACACACATTGGAGCAGGGTGGTCAAAGCCTTGAGTGTCCCGAAGGCCATTTTACAGGCCCGAGCCGGACTTCATCAGGACGTGCGTGACATTTTGGTATTGAGTCATAGTCGGCAGACAGGATGAGGAGCGTCTTCGTTATCGTCTTGTCCATCCTGTACACCTCAAGTGCATCCTCCGGTGCATCCAGCGCTGCACCTGCTTTGCCAGGTCGCAGCCTGCGTGGTGCAGAGGATGCCAGGCTCCTGCAGCTCATGCCAGAAGACACCACACCCCGGGTTGGGGTGCCGCAATGTGGGCCAGGCTACGTGGACAGCACAGCAGGGAACGCGCGCTACCCTTGGCGTTGTGCTGCCTCATGCCCGGGAGGGATGTGGTGGGCCAGCCATGACTGCTTCTGCGCCTGCGTTCCCTCGCAGTCAGTCTACACTCCTCCGCCCAGCTCAGTGACGTCTCAGCCAGTCACCAGCCAACGCCCTCAGACAACCATGGGCTACGTTCCCGTGCAGCCAAGCCCGGCACCCAGCCCCTACGTGTACGAGGCCCCGAAAGAGCCCAACACCACCCCAGCCCCTGCCTCCGCAACTCCAGCAGCTCGAGCAGCGCCCCAAGCTGAGGGAGGAGACTTCCCTGTCGGTGCAGCAGCCACAGTGGTCGGCATTCTACTGGTGTGTGGGGCCATCACATGCCTTTGGGTATGCTTGGGTCCTGGGCCTGAGAAATCGGTGCTCGTTGCTGAGGTCCCAGCAGTGACAGTCCACTCGCCAAAGAACTATTGCCCCCAGCCACCCCAGCTGACTGACCCAGTGAAGCCTCCACGTTCGAGCAGCAAGATGTCAACTGTCACAGTGTCATCAGACCACGCCCTGATTCCCGGATCCCGGAAGAGCAGCCGCGTGAGCTGCGGGTCCATCGGGTCCCAAACCTCGAACCCCGCGAACCCGCAGAACACGGCGCCGAAGAATAATTGGGAGATGATGAGCACCACATCCAGCTGTGCCTTGCCGCCCGTGATCATCAACTCGACACTGTGGGCGCACCATGTGGATGAAGTCACAGCTGGCAGTCAAAGCCGTCAGCTGACGCCCGAGCGCTCACGAGGCTCTTCCAAGATGTCGCGTGTCGAGCCGGAGACTAGCTCGCGTGGCGCCAGCAAGTCTTCGACCAAGTCTCGCGCGCGGTAGCTTGGCGTCTACCTCAAGGCTCTCATGTTGGGGCACATACATATACGTACATATATATATATGTATGTACGTGATTTATGTAGTATGCTACGGAGTACTCTAAACAGGTATTGCATATAGGAGCCTTTAGGGAGGGCTATAGCTCCAGGGAGATCCCATTTTCAAGTATTTTCAACTTTTCACGGCCTGGTTGATCCCTGAGCCGGCGCTGAGTTAGCTCCTGCAGAGGCTTGACATCTGGAAGTATTAAGGGATTAGGGTTTAGGGTTTAGGTTTAGGGTTTAGGGTTTAGGGTTTAGGGTTTAGGGTTTAGGGTTTAGGGTTTAGGGTTTAGGGTTTAGGGTTTAGGGTTTAGGGTTCAACTTTATTGCCCTTTCTGTCGCAGTTCATGAAGAAACCAAAACACCGCAGAAAGCAGATGTCGAAGCGCAAGCGAACCTCGAGAGAGCCCTGGGCTTCATGGGCTTCACTTTCTTTCTGGTGAAACCTTCTACTGCTAATAGTCATTACTAGTCATTACTATTCGGGTTTAGGGTTTAGGGTTTAGGGTTTAGGGTTTAGGGTTACTGGGAATAGTCATTACTATTAGGATTACTGTATGTTGGGTTTTTGGAATGCTATTGCGCTGTCCCCGATTATGCCGGCGCAACCGCAAACAGTGAGGATTCCGCAAGAGGCCCTTATTGCGGACGCGCCCTGTGTGTATATATATATATATTTATTTATTTATTTATATATACACATGTATGTATGTGTATGTGAATGTATATATAGATATATATATATACACAGTATATGTTATGATGTATAAGTATAGTACACAGTATACATCATAATAGCCACTGATCAACATCATCGGGCTCTTGATGGTTTTGCACGTGTTCCTTCTTGTGACTGCGAGTCTCCAGAAGGCATAGAAGCTTAGGGCAGCTTAAGTTCAGAAATCATTCCTTTGCAGTGGAGCTCTTGTGCGCTGAGGGATTCAGGCCGAAACGGCAGAGGGGCCTGAAACCCTAAGCCCGCAGGGCTTAGAGGCTTGGATTCCCTTTGTCCAAGAATTTAAGACACATTTTCCCCCCCAGGTGACCGACTTGCTCATTTGCAAAAGGCGATGTGTGATCCACCCCTCCGCGCTACTACAAGCAGCTACAAGATTCTCTTCAACAAGGGGTGCCCCGGTGAACCCGCAAGTTGCAAAGTCTGAGCTTCCGAGATCACAGCGCCGTGGTGTTATAGAAGCTGGGCGTAATTTTGATCCAAGCAATCCCCCCCCCCAAAAAAAAAAATATATATATATATATAGACTATACATATATTAAAACTTAAACCATCACCATACAGCAGCCTGAAGCCCTTGAGCAGTTGCTGAGTTACCACAGCACTGTCAAAGTGCCTGTGTTTCCTTGCTTGCTTCTTGCTACGCGAGATTAGCAGATCTATTTTGAGAGGCATCCCTACAGAGGTTGTCTTATGTATGGCATAGAGACCGTACACGATGCATACTGTACAGTTTGCTGTGAGGGCATCAACGGATGGACTCGAAAGAGGGTCTTGTTGAAGGATTCAGGCTTGAGCCAATCGATGCTGAAAAAGTGGGGATGTCCACCGATGACCTACAAGCGACTGAGCGCAGAACATCCCCCCCCCCCCCCCCCCCAATAATTGCAGCTCCTGGTCTATTGATGCCTAGACCTCTTATGGCAAACAGGGTGCACCCTAAACCCTAAACCCTAAACCCTAAACCCTAAACCTTAAACCCTAAACCCTAAACCCTAAACCCTAAACCCTAAACCCTAAACCCTAAACCCTAAACCCTAAACCCTAAACCCTAAACCCACACCCGAAACCCTATAATCGGCTCGAACATCTGTCAGGGGTCTATGAATAGTCAGCCAGAGGGCTCCTCGCAGCCTTCGGGCTTCCTTTCAAAGCACGAAGCAGCTTTCGAAGACGGTCCAGCCCGAAACTGGGTTAGGGTTTAGGGTTTAGGGTTTAGGGTTTAGGGTTTAGGGTTTAGGGTTTAGGGTTTAGGGTTTAGGGTCTAGGGTTTAGGGTTTAGGGTTTAGGGTTAGGGTTTAGGGTTTAGGGTTTAGGGTTTAGGGTTATAGGGTTATAGGGTTATAGGGTTATAGGGTTCAGGGTTTAGGGTTCCCCGAAAGCCTGGGATTCAAGGCACCCGTAAGTTAAGTTCCCAAAAAAGAGACACAACCTAAGCCCTAATCCCCAAAGACATATAGCCAACTTTTAAAGGAGCTACACGAAGAGCCGTCAAATAAAACACACCCGAAGCCCTATAGCCCTAACAACCCAAAGTGTCGAGCTGCTCTACCACCTTTGGGACCTGAACCCTCTTTAACTTCAGGCTTCCGAAACGAGTGGGTAGGGTTTAGGGTTTAGGGTTTAAGGTTTAGGGTTGAGGGTTCACAGGACAATCCTGAAAATCTCAAGACCCTACCCAAACCCTCAACCTCGCACAAGCCCATGTCAACTAGAACACTTCACCAAAAACAAAACCAAGCCCTAAACCCTAAACCCTAAGCCCTAAGCCCTAAACCCTAAACCCTAAGCCCCTAAACAAAACCCTAAGCCCTACAGCAGTTCGCTAGGTGCCGAGCACAAGACTGCTGATGTCTCGGCCTCCTTGGAGCGCCTTGGTCGCAGGGTTTTGTTAGGGCGGTTGAGTGTGGGGTTTAGGGTTTAGGGTTTAGGGTTTAGGGCTTGGGGCTTAGGGCTTAGGGTTTAGGGTTTAGGGCTCATGAGAACTTAGCGCTCCGTTACGGTTGTTCAGGGTCCAGGCTTTTGGCGTTCAAGGTTTGAATGTTTGAGGCCTGATCTTCGGCGTCGGACCTATGTTTCAGGGTTGTTTATAGTAGGAATTGACACTGGAGCAGCAGCAGTAATCCCACCCATCGTTGTCGTCATCATTTTGTTAGCAGCCACCATCGCAAAGCTACGCGCCAGATTCTGCTCTTGAGTTTGCGTGTTTTGCGCGTGCTGGTGCCCAGAATTGATGATCTTTTGGACTGCTTGTCACATGCAATGTCTTCTCTGCTTTAGATCTATAGTGCAAGGGTACCACTGGGTTGCAGTCGAGCCCTACCATGTCGCGGCTGGCCGCAAAGGGGCGCGGCGACGCGGCTGACTTCGCATTTCGCGATGTGCATGGTGGGAAGGGGCGGGATGGAGCGCGCAGGGGGTGTGGCGTAGTGATGTGCTGGGTGGGGGTGATTTTCGTTTGCTTATGGGGCGGTTACGTACTAGGGGGTACCTTACTGGGGTCCTCATTTTCAGGGAATCCTACTCTTTTGGGGCCGTATTGGGAGGTCCCTTACTTTCGTAAACTCCCAATATAGGGTTCAGGATTTCGGGCTACGTGCCTGGTTTTTGACAAGCAGGGTATGGGATTTGGGGTTTAGGGTTCATGTTTGTGGCTTCGGGGGTTGGGGGCCTCTGGGTTTAGGGGCTTGGGGGCTTAACGTGCGCTGGCAGCAGAGGTTTACGGAGCTTACCGCGCCACAGCTCTGAGTTCGGAGGCCGACAAAAACTCCCAAGCACTTAAACCACAAAACCCTAAACCCTAGTAGCTTCGTAGGCCCCAAGTCCTTTAGCCCTAGCCCCTAAGCCCTGAAGCCCTGAGCTTGCCAGCTCGAGCGCTGCTTGCAACACCCTTTTGGCCTCGCATGATGCCCTCAAACCCTAAACCCTAAACCCTAAACCCTAAACCCTAAACCCTAAACCCTAAACCCTAAACCCTAAACCCTAAACCCTAAACCCTAAACCCTAAACCCTAACAGACTTGTTGGCCAATTGCCTCCTCAGCCTGCGAAGCCGGTCAGGACAGGAACTTCACACGAGTAACTGCGTCCTGTGCCCAAGATGCCAGGAACTCCGGGGATCTCTGGGGGCGATTCCGACGTAGAATCCGAGTCCGAGGATGATGAGTTTGAAAAAGAAATGCAACTGTCGCAGCGATTTCACAAGGATTGAGGCCCTGAGCGTGCCAGAACCGCGGGAAATCGCACAAGAACGGCAAGAGTGACAGGGGCCCTTGTGGCTTTAGGGCTTGCTAGGACCCTAAAAGCGTAAGCCCCGAACCCCCGCTGTAAGCCTAAGCGCTCGCTGTGCTATACACGGCCCTGCAAACTGAAAACCCTCAAGCCTTCAACCCTGGGACAACCCTAGACAACCTGCGCTCTACCCTAAACCCTAAACCCTAAACCCTAAACCCTAAACCCTAAACCCTAAGCCCTAAACCCTAAACCCTAAACCCTAAACCCCATACCCTGACTAGATCCAAAGCTTCAAGGAACTCCTGGGGCTCATCGGAGTCCCTCCACAAGCTGACACGGACGGCCCCTTGGCTCGAATTCATTGTTTGAAAAAGGGGTTTAGGGTTTAGGGTTTAGGGTTAGGGTTTAGGGTTTAGGGTGTAGGGTTTAGGGCTTAGGGTTTAGAGTGTAGGGTTTAGGTTTTAGGTTTAGGGCAATATTCCCTTATGGTCCCGATATACTATACTATAATAAACCCCCCAAAACCCTATTCTAATTATTCAGGCTCCTACAGTACCGTCGGTTGCCCCCCACCCTTTTCCTTTTTGTTGGGTTGAGTTTTTGTTCATGACCTTCATTTTCATGGGTGGGCGATGCTAGATTTGGATCTCTTTATACCTACAGTACAAGGGCCCAGGCTAATTACATGTCTTGGTATTTCAAACCTACAGGCCCTAGTCCGTAAACCCTAAACTCTAACCTCTAAACCCTACACACCGCGGCGGGGCGGGGGGGGGGGGTTAGTTGATTCGAATTTCTCGCCATAGACTCCCCTAAACCTTTAAAGAAGTAACCCTAAACCCTGAAGCAGATAACAAAACCTCCCTTGACATAGTGGAGCCCATGAAATCAACAGAAAAAAAACACGGCTCCAGTTCTATGCAAAGCCCCAACTAAACCCTAAACCCCTAAACCCCTAAACCCCTAAACCCCTAAACCCCTAAACCCCTA